TATATTATCACGCTTGTACAATATAATTATCATATTTGTACAATATATTATCACATTTGTACAATATATTATCACATTTGTACAATATTATTATCATGTTTGTACAATATAATTATCGTGTTTGTACAATATAATTATCGTGTTTGTACAATATAATTATCATATTTGTACAATATATTATCACGCTTGTACAATATAATTATCATATTTGTACAATATATTATCACATTTGTACAATATAATTATCATGTTTGTACAATATAATTATCATGTTTGTACAATATAATTATCGTGTTTGTACAATATAATTATCATGTTTGTACAATATAATTATCATATTTGTACAATATATTATCACGTTTGTACAATATAATTTTCATATTTTTACAATATATTATCACGTTTGTACAATATAATTATCATATTTGTACAATATAATCAATTAAATTTGGTTCAGTTTATTTATATAGCACCAAATCACAACAAAGTTGTCTCAGGGAACTTTACAGGAACATTCACATACATAGAAAAGCCAATTAGTAAAGTTCTCTATCTAAGGAATCCAGCAGACAAGTTGAATCTTGGCTTCGTTGCAGTCTCCCATCCTGAGCAAGCACAGAGGCAACAGTGGAAAGAAAAAACTCCCTTTTAAAAGGAAGAAATCTCCAACAGAACCAGGCTCAGGACAAGCGGCCATCTACTTTGACCGACTGGTTTGAGAGGACAGAAAGGAGAGGCAAATGAACATAGAATTGTAGGTCCAGGTGTACCTGAAAGACACCCCCCACACACACACACGCATGTTAAGGATAGAAAAAATAATTACAAACACAAAACAGGTTGAGCAGAGTAAGTAAATAGAGTGAAAAAAAATCATTGCGTTTGTACAATATATTATCACATTTGTACAATATACAAACCGGATTCCAAAAAAGTTGGGACACTAAACAAATTAGGAATAAAAACTGAATGCAATGATGTGGAGATGGCAAATGTCAATATTTTATTCGTAATATAACATAGATGACAGATCAAAAGTTTAATCTGAGTAAATGTAACATTTTAAATATCCTGATGCATGCTTGATAATCCAGGTAGAAAAATCTAAAAAAGTTAAATCTGGTCCTCTGGACATTCAAAAAAAAAACAACAAAGCAAAACAACAAAAAAAATGTAGAAACGTTTCGTCTCTCATCCGAGAGACTTCCTCAGTCTGAGGAGCTGCATTCAGCTCAGTCTCTTAAATAGCACCTTCTCAGAGTGGATCAACCAGTTTTGCTGCTGACAACCAAAACCAGCTGATCACATGCTCAAGAAGGACCATCAGCCTAACAATGGGTCATTAGCACACTGATGGCTGTTTACTGTTCACAGAGGGCTGAGTGATACTAACAATCACAGCATTGTAAGAGGGGGACAGTTGAACCCGGAGGCCTCCACCCCTGTTTAACGATGGACGATTTCTTTTCACAAAGATGGCCTCCTTTACTCCTCTCTCAAACCATCGTTCCTCTCTGTCCAGGATGTGAACATCTTCATCCCTGAAAGAGTGACCGCTGGCCTGGAGATGAGTGTAGACCGCAGAGTCCTGGCCTTATGATGTTGATCTTCTGTGCTGGGCCATCCTTTTGGCCAGTGGCTGTTTAGTTTCCCCGATGTAAGACTGATCACAGCCCTCCTGACACTGAACAGCATACACAACATTACTCTGTTTGTGCCGGGGGACTGGATCTTTGGGATGAACCAGTCTTTGCCGTAATGTTTTTTGGGGTTTAAAAGCCACTGGGACGTTATGTTTAGAAAATAAACGTCTCAGTTTCTCTGATACTCCCTCAACATACGGAATGACCACTGGTCTGGGTCTGGGTTCCTCCTTTTCACCTGTTGGCTGACTGGAGTCCTGTTTGGGTTTCTTCTCTGCTTTCAGGAAGGCCCAGTTAGGATATCCACATTGCTCTAGAGCCTGTTTTGTGTGGTATTTCTCCTTCTGCCTGGCTCCCGAGTTAGTGGGGATGCTGTCTGCTCTGTGATACAGAGTCCTGATGACTCCTAACTTGTGCTCCAAAGGGTGATGGGAGTCAAACTGCAAATATTGGTCTGTGTGGGTGGGTTTGCGGTACACCTCGGTTTGCAAATGTCCTCTATCAGAGACTGAGACCTCACAGTCCAAGAAAGCCAACTTGCCATTTTTTACATCTTCTCGTGTGAACTTGATGTATTTATCCACAGAGTTGATGTGGTCCTGAGTTAGTGGGGACGCTGTCTGCTCTGTGGTACAGAGTCCTGATGACTCCTAACTTGTGCTCCAAAGGGTGAATTGTAGGTCCAGGTGTACCTGAAAGACCCCCCCCCCCCCCCCACACACACACACACACACGCATGTTAAGGATAGAAAAAATAATTACAAACACAAAACAGGTTGAGCAGAGTAAGTAAATAGAGTGGAAAAAAAATCATTGCGCTTGCACAATATATTATCACTTTTGTACAATATAATGATCACGTTTGTACAATATATTATGATGTTGGTACAATTATTATCATGTTTGTACAATATAATTTTCACGTTTTACAATATAATTATCATATTTGTACAATAAAAGAACCCGTGATAGGCGAAATCCGTGAAGTAGTAACCTTTACTTTTTTTTACAATTATTATACAATGAAATACTCCATAATACATTCAAACCAAAGAACTAAACCTTTTTACAGGCCCAAGCATTTGTTTAACAAATAAAAGTACTGTATAAACGTTTTTTACAAATAACTACTCTACTGGAGAGACTGTTTAGCCAATCAGAATGCAGAACACAATGCACGATGCAAATCCATGAAGCATCGAGACCGTGAAAGGTGAACCGTGTTATAGCAAGGGTTCACTGTATAATTATCACGTTTTGCAATATATTATCACGCTTGCACAATATAATTATCATGTTTGTACAATATATTATCACGCTTGCACAATATAATTATCATGTTTGTACAATATAATTATTGCGTTTGTACAATATATTATCACGTTTGTACAATTTATCATGTTTGTACAATATAATTAAATATTTTTAAGTTTAATCCTTGACAGCAATACACTTCTGTATAATTGTTTGTAAATTAGTTTTTCCTTTCCACTGTCGCCTTTGTGCTTGCTCAAGATGAGAGTTCTGCGATGGAGTTAAATTCAAAGCAGACTGCTCCTCAGATAAATAGTGTTAAATTGCTATGAACGTTTCTATTAACTTATTATTTTTATATATAAATGTTTCTGCTCAGTGCTCTGAGAAGACTTATTTTGTAACTTGGAGCTATATAAATAAACTGAATTGAATCGAACTGAATTAAAAAACTTGAGTGAAACAGTGACTTGAACGTTGCCCATCAGCTGTTCTCGTTTCCTAGTGGGGCAGTTATCGCGAGATTTGATGTAGAGTGGTGGCGGTGGTGCGTGTAACTGACAGAGCTCAGTCCGGAGTTCCTCACTGCTGATGGTGACGGGCGGAGGAGAAGAAGACGCAGAAGGAGTCAGCAGTGGCAGGGGACTGATAGTTCCGAGTTAGTCTCGTACACTTAGTAGTTTTACGTTTATCACTGGCTCCTCACAAACCCTGAAGGGAAGAGAAGGGGGAGAAAATACGCGAAGATGGCGGCCGCGGCCTCGCCGGGCTCCGGCTCGTCGCCGGGCTCCGGCTTGTTCGCCTCCTCGGACTGGATTGTAGTGAGAGACGGCTGCCTGCGCTGCGATGAGGAGGGCCTGCGGAGCCTCTCCTACCACCCGGCCCTGAACGCTATTTTAGCCGTCACCAGCCGCGGCAGCATAAAAGTGATTGACGGCACTTCGGGGGCCATTCTCCAGGCTTCAGCGCTCCACGGTAAGACTCGGGGCTTTCTGTTAGCGCTGACAAGACTTTCAGTTTTAAAAACCAACTCCAGTTTGTCAACAGACTGTCCTGGACTCAGCCGTCCCACAGAGGGGCCTAGTTGGGTTATTTAGAAACAGTTTGTGCTTATCCTGTTCTGCTTGTTTTAAAAGGCCAGGTACCGTCTTTGCCCAATGATAAATTTACTGTCAAACGCTCCAGTCTTTCACAAATAAATAATTTGTCAGTTTGAACCTCGGAATCATCATGACACCCCTGTAGGCAAGCTAACATAGCTTAGCATTGCGCTAGTTAGCCGGCAAACCTCCCTGTTTAGTTTCTGATTTATTTCTGTGTACTCGCAACATGTCTTTGGGTTTAAATGTCATATTTTGGACACCATGAGAAGCCCCATTATTAATACCTTGAACTACCATCTGTCTGAATGTGTCCGAGTTTTGAAATGAAAACCGCTGTTAGCCGCTAAGCTAGCTTCACAGTTCACCGGGCGCAGTCATTAAGCATTCAGGTGATGCTGATATTAACTCAGTGGTGCAGACGAGACTCATTTTAACAGGAAGGACGTGTTGTTTTTGTTTGCTAATTGAGCACTAAGTAAAGCCTTTTGAAGCACACGGCATGTCAGCCCTTCAGTCAGCTATTGATAAGCATTTAATATAGAAGTTGAAATGTGAAACTCACACATTGGCTCACACTTGTTGTCTTCAAGTTTTCTGCTTTCCAAGTGTTTTCTGGGGCAACAACAAAAGTAGAAGCTAAGTTGAATGATATTGATTTTGTATTGTCACAGTAATAAGAATGTTCTGATGTGTGCCAGTCTTTTTAGTGCAGCTTTTACAGACACATCAAAGATTTACAAAAACAACATTTAGACATAACGTTGTTAAATAACACAAATTTCAAATTAAAACATCTGTTTAGAAATTGCATATTTCATAGAAGCGTAATAGTGCAATTTTTTTCAAAACACTTTTAGAGCCAGCAAATATTATGTCATGAACGTTATCTTGTTGAAATTGATCCTTCAAAGTCGTTTCTGCGTATTAAGGCTAAAAACAAATTATTTCTTGTATTTGGAAGACACTCCTAACAAATCGAGATACCGGTAGGTCATGGACATGATGTCACATTTTGGTAATATTTGGTAAATTGCATTAATATCCCATATTTTTTTGGGGAAATTATATTTTGCAGTCCTATTATGGAACACACAATGCTGAAAATGTTACAGCAACATAATTGATGATGGAAAGAAACTTATTTAAATGTATTCTGCACCAGTCTCTGTCAATATGGATGCACAGAAAGGACTGGGGTACACACAGAGCTTACATGAAAGATAGAGGCCTCAGACGTTTGGAGGGTCATTGACATTGTGGCAGTTCCTGAAGGAGATGTGATGACATGTAATTTCAGAAACACATCCTTTAAAGATCTTTTCATGAGTTTGAGAAGAACCTTATGGTGCCATTTGACAGAACTGCTTTAACTGCTATTAAACCAGCTGCAGCCCTCGACTTCAGTGTTACTGAGCATTGTCATGTTGACGAGATTTGTAAACCAGTTTCCTTCTGTTTGTTATTATTGATGTGCAGCAGCATGCTAATTGCTGCTGACTTCAAGAAAAACACTATGGTATACGAGAAATAGTTTTTTGTTTTTCTTTGTTTTTTCTCTCTCGCTTGATGGAGGACATAATTTCGCTCCACCACATGTACCACATGTGGTGCGAATGACAATAAAGAATCTCTGACTCTGACATAAAAGATTCAAACAGCTCGTTTGCACCTACACATTCTTCCACGAAGAACTAAATAACTAGAGATTTGTTGTCACAGCACTCAACATGGAGACACCCCAAAAATGTATTTTGGCTGGACATGGGCACCAGTGACCCCCGCGATCCGAAAAGGAAGAGGCGAGTAAAGATAATGGATGGATGGCATGTAGTGTTTGAAAAAGGTCAGATTCAGCCGAACCAAACTCGATCGTGGTGACAATTTGCCCTTAAAAGTATGGAGGGGAAAGAGATGAGATTTACTAGAAATGTTAAGCACTAGTTGAGCTAGCCTCAGGTGGAAATCCTCTGGGGGGTGTGGGAGGGGGGTGTGGATGGGTGTTCTGGACCCACCCATTTTCAGAATAATAACGATGGACACCCCCCCCCCCACCCCAACAAATCATTTGAAAAAACTTTAGTTTTAAAGTAAATAAAGCATATCCATTATTTATATAGGCAAAATGATGCATTTATGATTTTAAAAAAATGACCCCCCCACACACACACACACACACGCACACACACACAGCATGTGGGAGAAGAGGGTTTGATCCTGGGTGAAAGCATGGCACTTTTCTTACTCAACCAAAATATTAAGGCGTTTTGTGGATGGCAACAGAAAACTTTCTAAAATATTAAGAGTCTTTGATTAGTAGAAACAATAGATCTTGTTTCATTATTTCAGTGGCTCATAATTTATATTGACTGACACTACATTTAATCATTTTGTTTTAAGAATATGTTTGTTTGATGTAGTAGATTTATTTAGAGAATGTATGTCTTCTTTTTAACATTATTTTTGTTTGGAGTATATGTCTTGTAAAACTGCTACAGATCAGTGACAATTATTCAATGACCATAAAAATAATTTAAACCTAATGAAATTAAGATAGGAGATAAGATAGAGCTGTATTGATCCTGCAGGAAATTGTTGAAATTATCTAAACAAAGATAATTTAAGTCTTCTGGACGATACAAAAAAAAAGGATAAAAATAAAATAAAAAAATTAAAACTTGTTGAAATGTTTCGTCTTTAATCCAAAGACGTCAGTAAATGGACTGTACTTATACAGCACCTTTCTATCTGATTAAGTTACTCAAAGCGCTTTCCACTACAATCTGTGCCTCATTTATCCATTCATACAGCACTCTACTAGATCTCTACAAAGATAATTGAACAAATCATTCTAAAGAGACTAATCAGAGCTTCATCACATTCATACACCGATGGGACACACATCAGAGGCTATGAGGGGTTCAGTATCTTGTCCAGGGACTCTTCAGCATGTGACTGCTGGTAGATTCGAACCCCCAACTCCTGCATTGGAGGACGATTGCTCTAACCATTCAGCCACAGCTGCCCAGTCAGTCACCATCGCCCGGCAGTCTGAGGAGCTACAATAAACTCAGTCTTATAAATAGCCCCTTCACATAGTGGGTCAACCAATTTGTTGTTGACATCCAGAACTAGCTGTTCTCATGATCAAGGAGGACCATCAGCCTAACAATTGGTCATTAGTGCCCTGATGGCCGCTTGCTATTTACAGAGGGCTCAGTGATACTAGCAATAACAGCATAGCAAGAGGGGGACAGTTAGACACGGAGGCCTCCGTCCCTGTTTAATGATGGATGGGTTCTTTTCACATAGATGGCTTCCTTCACTCCTCTCTCAAACTAACATTCCTCTATCAAGCATGTGCACATGTATCTGCATCCCTGAAAGAGTGACCTCTGGCCTGGATATGAGTGTAAACCACAGAGTCTAGTGATCGGTTTTACATTGGGGAAACTAAATAGCTACTGGCCGAAAGGATGGCCCAGCACAGAATGGTAACATCATCAGGCCAGGACTCTGCGGTTTACTTTCATCTGGTGGCGCAGTTGGTAGAGCTGTTGCTTCCCAGCGAGGTCACTGGTTCAAATCCCAGCCTGGGACCTTTCTGGGTGGAGTTGGTACATTCTCTTCATGCATGTGTTTTCTCCGGGTACTCCAGTTTCCTCCCACAGACCCATAACACGCATTTTAGGCTGATTGGTAACTAAATTGTCCCTAGGTGTGAGTGAGAGAGTGAATGGTTGTTTGTCTCGTTTGTCTCTCTGTGTCCCTGTGATGGACTGGAGACCTGTCCAGGGTGTACCCTGCCTCTCGCACAGTGATGGCTGGATATGGACCCCAGTGGCCCCAATGACCTCTGTTACCCAAAAAGGAAGAAGCGGGTAAAGATAATGGATGGACATTTGGTAGTGCTTGCGCTATCCTCCTTCAAAGTTTAATACCGGTACTCTTCCAGGACCTGCAGCGCCGTAAAGTGTAACCCTGACAGCCAAACTGATCTGTTCTCTGATTGGATTGTTAAATTTGTGATTGACCAATCAGCTGAGAGGAAGACATTTCCTGTCATAATTCGCACTTGAATGTTTGAAACTCACAGAAAGTTAGGGAACTTGCGCGCAGTTTTACACATAGTTTTTTGCTTAAACAGACCATAACAAAAAAGTAACTTGTATAACATAATTTTTTTTATTTTTTACAAATCTTCTTTACACACACACATTCATATCAACACATGCTCTAAGCAGAAATTCTCGTTTTATTTTATGAGTTTACAAAACTTAATTCAGAACTAGCAGCCTGCTTTACAACCACAAAATAATTGTAATTGGAATTTATGCTCCTACAGTAACTAGGGTTATTTTTTTGTAGGTCCATTAAAATAAGTGGTTTGAGTCCCGTGAAATAAGTTTCTCCAGTTTATTACAGATGTATGTTATTTATTATAGCAGATTGATCTTGAATAGTTTGAATTAAGTATTTATCTTAGTTTTTATTTAAATCAAGTTTTAATAGCTTGCACAGCTCTTTCCAAGAATACCACATTTTCTTTCTTATGCACCGTCAGAAAATATAATAAATAAAATTATTGTGACTTTAACACTGATGCATTGTAGCTGGATGTGTGTGACCTTTCACCATTTCTTATTCTTGTTCTGGCCCAAATAAGTGATCCAACTCAACCACTATGTATAGGATCTGCTCACAAAGCCAACATTTTTTGTTTGAACTGGTAAATCAAGAATGTTTAAACAAAATATATTTCTGGGTGATCAGAGATGAGAATTACCACGAATTACCATGCGCTACTTTTATTTTGGCAAAACACGCATACTGCTGTGTTTGTGATACTGAAAGTCTTCAGATCCGTTTTCATGCTCAAACAAAATGCTTCGAGCGTTTCTCCTCCTTTGACTGGTGAGCTGGTTCAGATTGTGCCGTGTCCACGCTTTGTTGATCAGGAGGAGTGCGTGGCGGTGTTTGTTTATGGATGAATGTTGTTTAAAAACACCTAGAGTAGAAAAGCATGCAGTTAGTGTCCCCGTTTTCACCTTTTAATGTGTGATGTTTGCTTAGACACATGACTCATTTAGTGTTTGTTTAGTGTCTGTTCCCAGCTGGGCTACTTCAAATGTGATTAAAAAAAGAAAACGAAAGACATTTACACCCACATTCAGAATTCAAAGTTCCTCACACGTTTTCAATGTTTGAACTCTGATTTAATCACTTCAGGTAATGAGCCTGCTGTGACTGTGGCACAAAATTTAAATGAAGTTTACTGAAACATGTTCTAATTAATAATTAACAGTGATAAAATTAATAACATCACCAGAAGGACACAGTTGCGAGGGTGGAGCTTGTTTCTTAATATATATATATGTTTCAGGTGACTTCTAACAGGTCTATTTGTGTTTACTGTGCGACCCAATAGTTATCTACTGTCACTGTTTGTGGAACATTGTGCGTAAATACATAAGTTTCTGTCTACCTTAATTAACTTGTTTATTGCTTAAAGCTAAACAAAAACAACAACAACAAAAAAATCTGTGCTTTTTGTTCTACAATATAAAAGCACTGAACACAAGTTTGTTTGTAATAAAGTGAATTTAATTAGTTTGAATTAATAGTTTAAGTAGTTACAAATAAATTAGCACAGTGGAACTGTGCCAGTTTTAAACTGTTAAAATTAGCTTGTATGAATAAATCTTGACTTTTGATATTTTTGTCAACAAGAGTGAAACAGCACAAGGCAAGGTCAGTGAACAAGGCCAGACTGATTCTGGCAGATCCTGATCATCCACTCCATGGTGAGTTCAGGTTGCTTCCGTCTGGACGCAGGTATCTGCTGCCCAGTTATAGAACGAACAGACTGAAAAACTTCATTCCTGTAGTGATCAGGCTTCTCAATGAACAATGATGATTTCTGTACTGTTAATGTTGTAATACGTCTTTAAAACATCTTCAGTTGATCCAAAACGCTGCTGCCAGAGTCTTAACTGGAGTTAGTAGGAGAGATCATATCTCTCCAGTTTCTCTCCATTGGCTCCCTGTCAAATCCAGAATCAAATTCAAAATCTTACTTCTAACCTACAAAGTTCTCAACAACCTAGCTCCATCTTATATTACAGATCTTATTGTTCCATATTTTCCTAACAGAGCATCTTGCTCTCAGACTGCAGGTTTACTCGTGGTCCCCAGAGTTTCCAAAAGCAGAATGGGAGGAAGATCTTTCAGTTATCAGGCTCCTCTCTTGTGGAACCAACTTCCAGTTTCTGTCTGTGAGACTGACACATTGTCCAGTTTTAAGACTGGGATTCAGACTTTCCTTTTTGATAAATCCTATAGTTAGGGTTGGCTTGTTATGCTGCTAGAATACTAGAGGACAAATTGACCTAATTTCCTTAAATGAATTGTTAAAATAGAATAGTTTTCATTTGATACTATTTCTATCTTAACATGTGATTCTTGACCTGCCATTGTGTATCTATTCCTCTCAAACCCAGCCGGTCAAAGCAGATGACCACTTGTCCTGAGCCTGGTTCTTCTAAAGGTTTCTTCCTCATGAGGGAGCTTTTCCTTTCCACTGTCACCTTCATACTTGCTCTAGATGAGAGTCTGTGATGGAGTTGAACTCAAGCAGTCAGCCTCAGATAAATAATGTTAAATTATTATTTTATATATGAATGTTTCTGTTCAGTGCCCTGAGCTGACTTCTGTTGTGACTTGGTGCTGTGTAAATAAACTGAATTGAACTGTTATTTTAATGTCTCAATGTCTTGTCTTGTATGGATGTTTTGTGTGCCTACTGATTGTGAAACAAATTGCCCCTTGGGGATAATAAAGATTCTTGAACTTGAAATGTGTGTGTTGACTAAACACTTGATGTGACTCGAGAATAGAGTGAGTGTACGCTGAGAAATCTGTGAATTCTTGTCTTTTTTTCTCCTGTCCTTCTCAAAAAGTGCTGTTTTGTCCTGTCATCCTGTTTTAGCCAAACCTGGTGGTCGTGTCAGGTGTCAGTACTTTCCCGCAGTGGACAAGGTGCTTTTTGTGGATGACTACGCCGTTGGCTGCAGAAAGGACCTGAACGGCATCCTGCTTCTGGACACAGCCCTCCAGCCTCCCGTGGCCAAGCCGGAGGACATGGTTCAGCTGGAGCTGCCGGTCACAGAGGTGGGAAACGACGGCATGCTGTTGCCATCAGACACAAATAAGCTCGGGGTTTGGTTCAGTAGGCTGGGCACTCGGTTCTGTTGACAGGGCGGTGCACCTTGCTTAGGGGAAACACTGAGGCTATATTATTTTTCTGATATGTTATAGATCAGAAAATATTTTAACATGCTATTTCTATTTATTTTTTATTTTTACAGTGTTGAAGAATTTTGAACAACAGTGAGGACATTTAAACTGTGAAATGCAGCAACAACAAAAATAGTTTGTAAACAAAAGTTTACAGTAAAAAAATATTGAGAAGTTTAAAAATACCAATTGAGAGTTTATGTTATGGTTGAAAGTTGAAACATTACTTAAAAATTGCTGCTTAGCTTAAGAGTGTTCACTAAATGTTTGGCACAACATGCTGAATAAAGCCAAATCCTAGATTTTTTTTGCTTTCATTATTTTTTGGCCTTATTTTTGTAGATGGTAGTCATCCCTAAAACGAAGACAAAAATCCAGAACCACCCTTGCAAGTCAGGAGGCTGGCAGGTCATGCTACGATAGCAGGATAGCAGGTCATGTACAACAAAGCAGGATTTGCTAAATTTGAACTCTAATAAAAACCTACAAAATGAAAAACAAAATGTTATATTCACTCCATTTAAAGACTAAACAGTGTCCTACAGGACATGTCAAACATGGTTGCAAAAAAAGAACTACAGAACTGACTGTTTCTTTGTGAAAATCCAAAATAATTAAACCAGTACAAAATAATGATCTTTATTATCACTAAAAGGCTTGTCTACAATGGCATTAGGAGATAAGATTAAGAAAACACGCACACACAGCTTCTCTGTTTGTGATGCTGGTGTGCTTTTCATACACGGGCGACACCCATAAAATGTCAGGTAGTGTATTTAACAGCATTTATAAGATGTAAGAGGGTCTTGCATGTGATTTATGACCCATTTGAGTTTCCATACATCCGCTTATTTTATTTATTTTTTTGTTTTCTTGTGCTCTCCAGTGTTTTCGTGAATCGCTGCAAACTAAAGCATTTTCACACTGCTGATTTGAAACAGGCAGGTCTTCAAGCTCGCGTGCTTCATCTGAGCCAACCATTCTTGCTTCGCTTTGATGTAGAGTGCTTCAGATAGTGTTTTTTTTTACTCATTTTTCTGTCATAGCAGTTTGTAAAAAGCAAAAAGAAACAAACATGTTATCACTTGAAATTAATGTGTTTTTCATTTAATAACATGCACCACTTGACATCAGTACTGCAGCACTTTGGTACAAATACACATATTGTTGCAATCCTAGTTTTCTTTAACACTAAATGAAGAGTGATGGCCTGTGTAGTTAGGCAGAATATATATTTTTTGAATGTTTACAACTTTATTTAAAAATATTCATTTTCATTAGAGGCAGCACGGTGGCGCAACTGGTAGAGCTGCTGCCTCTCAGTGAGCAGGTCCCTGGTTCAAACCCCGGTCCAGGGGCCTTTCTGGGTGGAGTTTGCATGTTCTCTCCGTGCATGCGTGGGTTTTCTCCGGGTACTCCGGTTTCCTCCCACAGTCCAAAAAACATGCATGTTAGGCTGATTGGTAACTCTAAATTGTCCCTAGGTGTGAGTGAGAGAGTGAATGGTTGTTTGTCTCGTTTGTCTCTATGTGGCCCTGTGATGGACTTGCGACCCGTCCAGGGTGTACCCCGCCCCTCGCACAGTGATTGCTGGACATGGGCACCAGCGACCCCCGTGACCCAAAATGGAATAAGCGGGTAAAAGAAAATGGATGGATGGATTTTCATTAGACAGATTACACTTTACTCAAAAGTAATTGATTTGTTGTTCTCATTTGAATAACGAGCTGAAATGAACATAAAGCTCAGTGTCGGAGTAGGCAGACTGTTGGTGCTGTCCTCGTACAGGAGCAGAGCAGGACCCTGTATAGAGAAAAACAATTTGAAGCAAACGCAGGTTAAAAGCAGCCACTCACTGAATTTACTGATTGGCAAATAGGAAATTTATTGTTGCATTGTCCCCACATTTGCCTGTGTGTGCGAAAACAATTTTTATATTCAAACAAGAAGGAAACCCAGCTGTGTACACTGAAGAATACAAAATGATTTGATCACTGTTCAGACTCTGGATCTGCTCATGTTGTTTTCTTGTCTTAAAAAAATCCACATAAATGAACAAAGTCACTTCAGCCAATTTTATTATAAACTAATCCATGTCTGCCGTGTGTTTGTTCGTGATCCAGCCACACCCAGATTAATGTGTTGTTCTTTAGGATTCTTCTGTTCTCTAAAACAACTCGCATTACTCAATGTTGAACTGAAGTATTCTCTAGTAAATGTACAGTACAACACTACACTTTGTGGCTGTTTTCTTGTGCAGAATATCGGTAGTGGCATGCATATCCTACAAATACAAAAACTGGAAGAAAACATCTTAATGTTTAAGAAACTTGGCATAATACACAATTTTGCCCGTTTTGTCACATAACTGGCATATTATTTTTTACTTGGTGTGGTCATGGTGAAACAGGAAGTGACATCAAAGGAGAACTCTTTAAAAAAGAGAAATCCACGGTCTTTGTTTATTGAAACAATTGAAATTCTGACTCTTTCTCTAATAGTGACTCAAAATAATGTAAAGAAACATCAGATTCTTCTCTACTCTCTGTGCTGTTAGCCTTTGAAGCAATGATCTGTTCACAGGCAGGCATTGCCCTTTGTCATCACTTCCTGTTACTGCACATGAAAATATCTCAACTGTTAATCTTAGTGGTTAAAATATTTTTTGCCATTATTATTATCTTTCTAAAAATACATTCATATTTATTACAAAAATGTCACAGGCTCTTTAAATCACCTTAACTGGAATAAACAGTTTAACAAGTCATGTTTTTATAAACTGAGACGGTCTTGGCAGCAGTGTAGAATTGTTAAAAATGGTTAAATTCAAATCATTTAAATCTTTATTCCTCTCTTTAGCCTTCATTAAGAGAATGGCCGATGACTAATTTTTGTCTCTTTCCCAGCTTTCTTTATGTCCTCACATGTAACATGTTTGTATGTTTAGGCTCAGCAGATGCTGTCTGCCTGTCAGGAAAAGATCGATGTGTCCAACACCGAGGGCTACGAGCTCTTTATCAGCCAGCTCAAAGAAGGTCTAAAGAATACCTCGCATGAGACTGCAGCCAATCACAAAGTGGCCAAGGTAAGTTTGTCAGCCAGTTGGAAAAAGGTTTTATTTGTTGCATGTCACACATGAAGAGAGCTGCTCTGTTGTTACTGAGAGTTGGTCAGTAGTTAGAAACGAGGGTTTTTGAATGGGGAGAGGCAGCAATGTGTGGTAAAGCATGTGAGCCATCACATTTTTTTTCTTTTTCTCTCTCTGTTTGGGCCATAATTTGCCCTTTTTTATTCTCAAATGTACATTTCCCAGTTTGTGTTGCTCTCCCCAGGAGATGAGAACAGACATGAATGACTTTGTTTGGGGTTAAAATGTCAGTATTGTGGCAATTCTTTCTGTAACACAATTTAAAGTTCATAATTTTCAACGCTGATTGTTAGGTTTAAACACGAGATGATGGAGATTGAAGAAAATACATAAAATACAGATGATACTCAACCACTGGCTCATACTGATGTCTAAAGTATAACTTTTCTGTTGGGGTTGTGTTTAGGCGATAATTTATATCTGTCAGAATGTTGTTTATCTCCTGCTGTGAAAATGGAGGATCAGGGAAACAACCTCCCAAAAGACTCCAGTTTCTGAAAATGTTCTTGCAGCAATGGTGCAGCTTTTAGTGTCTTTAATGTGAGCAAACATGGTGTGGGCATTAAAAAAATAAAGATGGATAGTTTGGAAGTGGCATGGAGTGAGTTCTGATTTTTACAAACAGACAATGTCTTAAAAATACATTGATAAGCACAAGTTCAAAAAAGTTAAACATATTGGATAAAATTTATATTTTTGTAAATTTATAATAATAAAATAACAGGAATGCAATCAAAGTGATCACTTATTAAACTTATCATCTATAACCTTATCCAGTTGTACCTTATCTAATTGATCAGTTTAGTAATTTTTTTGTTGCTCAGCTGTTGTTAACCTGATGAAGCTCCATTGTTCTCCTGGGACTCAGAACTCGTGTTCTACTGACCGAAAGGGAGGAGCGACCAATCAGCTCAGCTGTACACTGTCTCACAATTTATTCATTTTGTTTTCTAAATCATTCAGCTCGAAATGTGATATTGGACCACTGAGATGACAGTGTAGTAGACGTATCAAATGTGTCTTGAAGCTGCATTGTTTGTAACTTAGTGTAGTTAGCTGCATGACTGTCTGTACCTCTGGGAGCTCTCCTACTGTGCAGCACTTTAGTTTATGGTTACTTTACACATTGTGTCTACTACAACCATAGCAGTTGTGTGAGGGGCGGGCTGCAACACAGTTTCTCTGCACTTCCTCATAGCTCAGCGCAGTGATTCTCAGACACATAAAATAACTAAGTTGTCAAATGGTCACTTATTGAATTTTCCAAACACTGCAAAGGAGCCAGTTAAACAACAACAACAAAAAAAACTTAATGACAACAATCCACAACAACCCATTACACAATTTAAAAAAATAAATTTGACTGCTTTTTTTTTTCCCTTTACAAAGTTTATGGATTTCTGATTACTGTTGATTTTCTCAAAACTTGGTGTTTTGATCCCACAGTTGTATCCTGAGCTAAACTTTAAGATCCTATTTAGAGTTTGTGGACAGCGTCAGAGGGGTCACCAACCTTTTTGAGACGGAGAGCTGTTTCCTGGGTACAGAGCAACACAAAGGCCTACTTTGTTTGATACAAACATGAATTTTCACAGCTCGTCTTTAATTGTAGTATAGATAATAATAAATTTACATATGATTCAGAGATTCAGAAAGATTTATTTGTCATACGCATCTCATGTGGTACATGTGGTGGAACGAGATTATGTACACAGGGTCCCAGTTACATCAAACAATAAAATGTAAAAGAAAAACAGTAATGAGATCTAAAATATGAACTAAGAAAAACATCAACTAAATAATACACTAAGCACTAATAGCAAAAAAACATTCTGTCGAACAACAGCACGAACATGAGTTTGTGTGAGCAGATGAGCACGCATGACCATATCAACATGAAATAAATCAGCAGCAACATGAAACAGATCAGCAGCAACATGTGATTTTTCACAGTGATTATCCTGGTTAGAGATTCATGAGTCTAACAGCTTCAGGGTAGAAGCTGTTCCTCAGTCTACTGGTTCTACACTTAATGCTCCTCAACCTCCTTCCTGAGGGGAGCAGGGCAAAAAGTGTGTGTGCTGGGTGAGTGGGGTCCTTCATGATGCAGGTGGCCCTCTTCCTGCATCTAGAGGTGTAGATGTCTGTGGTGGGGAGGCTGACTTTGACAGTCTTCTGTGCAGCTTTCGCCACTCTCTGCAGAGCTTTTCTTTCTGCAGCTGTGCAGCCTCCATGTCACATGTTGATGCTGGAGCACAGGATGCTCTCCACTGCACACCTGTAGAAGGAGGTGAGGACTGAGCTTCCCAGACCAGCTCATCTCAGCCGTCTGAGGAAGTAGAGTCTCTGATGAGCTTTCTTGATCAGGCTGGTGGTGTTGTTGCTCCAGCTGAGGTTGTCATTCAGGTGTACACCCAAGTACTTGTAGCTGGAGACCACTTCCACCGCAGATCCTCTTATGTTCGGGGGGGTGGGGTGGTGGTGGTGGTGGTGTAGGTGTGTTTGTTCCTTCTGAAGTCTAAGATCATCTCCCTTGTCTTCTTCACAATGATGTGAAGGTTATTCTTCCTGCACCAGCTCTCCAGGTGTTCCACCTCCTACCTGTAGCTGGACACATCATTGTTTGTGATGCATCCCACCACCAGTGTATCATCTGCAAACTTAACGATATGACAGCCTGGATGGGTAGTTGCACAATCATACGTGAGCAGATTGAACAGGAGGGGTCTCAACACACATCCCTGAGGGGAGATGGTGCTGAGGGTTATGGTGGAGTAGGAGAAGTTGTGGATCCTCACTGACTGCGGTTTGTTTAAGAATCTATGACCCAATTGCAAATGGAGGGGCTTAGTCCTAGTGTGAGTAGTTTGTCCATCAAGGTTTGGGGGATCGTGGTGTTGAAGGCAGACGTGAAGTCCACAAAGAGCATACGGACGTAAGAGTCCTTCTGCTCCAGGTGATTGAGAGCAGTGTGAACCACAGAGGAGATTGCATCCTTTGCTTATATGTATTGAAATCCCGAAATTCGCAAGGGTTATGTTTTTAGAGCACTCATGAATTGTGAAAAAACATGAATATTAGATGTGGTCAGAAAAGGCCTATAAATTCAGATTTTTTTTTAAAGAGCTTAAACCCTAAATATGCTCCCAATACATAAAATAAACTATATACGTTTAATAAAAATACAGTTAACTGTATGAGTACTCGCCAAAATAAATGATAATGATGATGCAAAGAAGAGGATTTACAACTCCTCATGTGGTGCCTCTGCTTCAGGAGTTGTATCTTCTGACAGGTGTCCTTCTGGTGGGGTTTTGTACTGGATGTCCATGATAGGTTTGCATCCTTCTCAATAATTTTTTGTTTGAGTAGGAGGCTAATGGCTCAGAATAGGAGGCTGGAGTCATTTCCCAACATAAACACAGATGTTCTGTGTGGTGAAAATATTGGTGAACGCTGACCGTTCAAACACTGATCACTGATGAAAATGTCTTACCAGCGTCACAGGCATGAAAAGAGGTATGAAGTCATAATCAGCAGCAGCTGTCCAGCATCAATTTTGTAGAGCGAGATAACATGCATTTTCAAGAATCTAATAAAGAATTATTTCACAATGAAATCCTGATGCATGCTCAGTATTCCAGGTTAAAAAAAAATCCAACAAAGTTAGGTCAGGTCCTCTGGACAGATGCAAAAATATATATATATATATTTTAAATTGTTGAAACACTTCGTCAGAGCTGCACTAAATTCAGTCTTATAAATGGCATCTTCTCATAGTGGATCAACCAGCTTGCTTGTGACTGCCAAAACTAGTTGTTCTCATGATCAAGGAGGACCATCAGCCTAACGACCAATCGTTGGTACCCTGATGACCGCTTGCTATTTGCAGGGGGCTGTGTGATATTAGCAATAACAGCGTTGTAAGAAGGTGACAGTTGGACATGGAGGCCTCAGCCCCTGTTTAATTTAATTTTATTTTATTTAACCTTTACAGTGGGTACAGAAAGTATTCAGACCCCTTTAAATTTTTCACTCTTTGTTTCATTGCAGCCTTTTGCTAAAATCCAAAAAGTTAATTTTATTTCTCATTAATCCTCACTCAGCACCCCATCTTGACATAAAAAAACATAAATGTAGAAATTTTTGCAAATTTATTAAAAAAGAAAAACTGAAATATCGCATGGTCATAAGTATTCAGACCCTTTGCTGTGACACTCATATTTAACTCACATGCTGTCCATTTCCTTTTGATCCTCCTTGAGATGTTTCTACTCCATTGGAGTCCAGCTGTGTTTAATCAAGCTGATTGGACTTGATTAGGAAAGAAGCATACCTGTCTATATAAGACCTCACAGCTCACAGTGCATGTCAGAACAAATGAGAATCACGAGGTCAGAGGAACTGCCCAAGGAGCTCAGAGACAGAATTTTGGCAAGGCACAGATCTGACCAAGGTTACAAAAGAATTTCTGCAGCACTCAAGGTTCCTAAGGGCACAGTGGCCTCCATAATCCTTAAATGGAAGAAGTTTGGGATGACCAGAACTCTTCCTAGACCTGACCGTCCAGCCAAACTGGGCAATCCTGGGAGAAGCGCCTTGGTGAGAGAGGTAAAGAAGAACCCAAAGATCACTGTGGCTGAACTCCAGAGATGCAGTAGGGAGATGAGAGAAAGTTCCACAAAGTTAACTATCACTGCAGCTCTCCACCATTTGGGGCTTTATGGCAGAGTGGCTCGACAGAAGTCTTTCCTCAATGCTAGACATATGAAAGCCCACATAGTTTACCAAAAAACACATGAATGACTCCCAGACTATGAGAAATAAGATTCTCTGGTCTGATAAGATGAAGATTGAACTTTTTGGCGTTAATTCTAAGCAGTATGTGTGGAGAAAACCATGTACTGCTCATCACCTGCCCAGTACAATCCCAACAG